TATTTCAAAAATGCTTAATACTATTCTTACAATTGAGCAACAATTCTCAAGTTAATATGTTACTAATTATATTAATAAATTGATTGAATAAATCACAACTCTAAGCTATCTATAATCTTATAATCTATGTCTTTCAAGCAAATTAATAACAGTAAAATAACTATGAGGTAACAGATTAATAGGGAAGAAAAAAGGAAAAAAAAAGGAAAAAGAAAGGAAAAAGTCGCTTATCTTACTATTTAGAATTCAGACTATTTAAATATTTAAATATATATATGTATATGTAAATTTAATAATATATCTTACAAATATTATAAATATTTTAAATCTAAATATATAAATATAGGGAGTATATATATTTCAGAAAGAATATGTATTACTATATAATTCAAGAGCTTTCCTCCTGTTAATTGTTCATAGACTTTGTTGCAGCTCTGTCCGCAACAGCCTCAACAATTCCGGTATGTTTTAATTCCAAAGTTTGCTCGCTTAAATCCAACTTTAATAGACTCCCTCTGTTGATCTTCGCAGCCTCGCCTTGTCTATCTTACTGTCAATTCCGGTTTATGGCTGCACTTCCGGCTTCTTCTCCTCCAATTTCATCCAGCTCTCTGCTTGACAGCTCGTAATCCAAACACAGTCTGCAATCAAAGCTCTCTCTCCTTCTATAACTAAAAGTGTCCCACCAGTTTTCTTCTGTCTACGATGTCTCTCTGCCTCTCTGCTTCAGCGATCTCCTCCTTTTCTTTTGCTGATTTGCCGGTTACCCATTCAGTTCCAGTCCGCTCTTTCCCTTTCAATCGCCGCTCTTCTCTCTCTCCACGAGATCTTCCACCCGACACAACCGGCCACGCTTCTTTGCAGTCAGTCCCACGGTATCAGGAAAGAAAGGTATAAGTGCACTTCACCGACAGCTTTCCCGAACTTCTTCGCTTCCCGTCTCTTGTTGGTTATCGCAGCCTCGGATCTGCCATTAGATAGCAGATACACGTGTGCTGGCTAGACAGAGGCGTCCGGTCGAGCGGGGAGCGCTCGCACCTCGCTTCTCCGCTCTCCAAATCCCTCTATTGTCCAAGAGACTCTCCGGGCCTCTCGCCTTGAAAGGATCCCCAAAGCATGGTGACTAACAGTGTTGAGGAGCAGCGATCACTCTCTCAATGTCATATCGCCATGAGTCACCAACCGGAAGTCCTTAATTTCATATTTTATAATCCAGTGTCCTGCTTTGACCTCACAGAAATAGCCTTAATCAGATCTCAACCCAATATGGAACCAGTTTGCTATAATCATTCTTCTCTTCTCTTCTCTTCTCTTCTCTTCTCTTCTCTTCTCTTCTCTTCTCTTCTCTTCTCTTCTCTTCTCTTCTCTCCTCTCCTCTCCTCTCCTCTCCTCTCCTCTCCTCTCCTCTCCTCTCCCCTCCCCTCCCCTCCCCTCCCCTCCCCTCCCCTCCCTCCCTCCCCTCTCCTCTCCTCTCCCCTCCCCTCCCCTCCCCTCCCCTCCTGAAACCTTAGACAAGAATCCTACTGTAGACAACAGAGTGTATTAATATTTGCTAGCTTGCATCCTCTTTTAAGGGTATAAAGTGACCAGCCTCTGGTGTTGACATAAATGTCAGATGTATTTAGAAGATTGACCATACCCCAATAGTTTTGGTCATTGCTCAACCCCACCACTGTTATTTTTCTTCTGATTATTGGCCTTCTCAGGATTATACTTTCATTCTATTTAATTTTTATCTAATTATTAAGATATATATAATATCTTGTTGACTCACCAGGGATCATAAAGCACAACTGCCCAATATAATACATTCTAAAAATGATGATATTACAAAGTGATTAATGTAGGGGCAGGCTTAGAGAAATATTTAAAAATACCCAAGCAGCCTTGTAAATTTTAATAGTTTTCTTTGTTGCAATCTAGCAAGTTTCAACTTTCAGCTAAAGACTTTTAAAAAATATCTCATACTATGATCTTCAAAAGTAACCTTAGGAAGAGGAGAGAGGAATAGAAGGCAGAAATGGATTTGTTTAAGGATTGACATGGGATCAGGGCAGGGGTGAAATTCGACTGGTTTGGACCTGTTCGGGCGATCTGCTAGGGATGATTGGCATCGGTTCGCCGAACTGGTGGTAATCACCCCTGGTTGGCCCCACCCAGGCATGCCTGGTCGCCGCTCACCTCTTCTGGCCACTCGCTCAGTCCTTCCGGTCGCTCGATATTTCAGAGAATTCAACGTTAAATGCAGCAGAGAGAATTCTAACTTTTCTCCCTCCATTCACAGCCGAGCTGCTGCTCCCTTTATGGTCCCCCATGGCCCCCTCCCTCCCGGGGACTACCTTAAAGGACAGGCTGCAGAAGCTCCACTGTGAATGGAGGAAGAAAATTAGATCTGTAAAAAATGCAAAAATTAAGAGAAATCATGCAGAAGTAGTTCTTGTGTCTATTTCAAAAGTAATATAAAAAGTACCAATTCCCTCTTTTTGGGCGGCTCGCGGGAGGCTTGCACAGTGGCACCGGCATGGGGGAGGCAGGCAATCCAGATGCCCCTTGCTGGTGCTTGTTCAGTGCAGCTGCAGGCAAGCCAAGAGACAGTGGGACGAAGGGGCTGGTGCATTGGGATTGCTTCTGCCTCCCCCATGCCTCTGCCTCCACTTTCTGCTGGTGCTACCACACAAGCCTCCCATGAGGAAAAAGAGGGAAAAAGAAAAGCGGCTGTCTGCAGAGCTGCCAGCTTCGGGAAGTGGCCCAACAGGCAGAAGCACCGCACTCAGAAACAGATGGGCGAAAGTCATTCTGTGCTGAAGCAGAGGCCTTCCAAGCAGTGGTGGGTTGCTACCAATTCTCCCTGGATCGGGCAAACTGGTAGCGGTGGCGGTGGGAGGCTCTGCCCACCCACCCAAATGTTCTGTGCATGTGCAGAAGCATCATGCAAGCGCACCCACAAGCAAACCGGTAGCGGCCAAAATTGAAACCCACTACTGATTCAGAGCCTTCAGTGTGTCCCAGGATTGCAACGCTGAAGGTTCAGAATGCAGCTTTTTTCACGAATGGCAGGAAAATGGGGAGGGGAATTTTCCTGCCTACCATTCTTTCCTCAGTCTGTGCTGAGCTTGAGGAATGGATGACAGGCAGGAAAATCCCCCTCCCCATTTTCCTGCCTTTGGCGAAAAAGGCTCTATTGCGAACATTCAGTGTATCCCAGGATTGCAACACTGAAGGCTCGGAATGGAGCCATTTTCGTGAAAGGCATCCATTCCTCAAGCTCAGCACAGACTGAGGGAAGGATGGTAGGCAGGAAAATTCCCCTCCGCATTTTCCTGCCATTCGTGATAAGTAATGGCTGGGAGGGGAGGTGCCGGGTGAGGCGCTCCTCAACGTGAGTGATGTTGAGTTGGCCACACCCACCCAGTCACATGACACCCCCCCACCAAGCCACACCCACAGAACTGGTAGGGAAAAATTTTGAATTTCACCACTGGATCATGGCTTAGGACCGGGGTATATACGAGACCGCCTTCTGCCACTGATAGCCTCCCACCGGCCAATACGCTCCCACAGAGAGGGGCTCCTCAGGGTGCCGTCAGCCAAACATTGCCGACTGGCGACACCCAGGGGGAGAGCCTTCTCTATGGGGGCACCAGCCCTCTGGAATGAGCTGCCCCTAGAGGTTCGTACGATCCCGGACCTGCGTACCTTTTGCCGCGCCCTGAAGACCCTTCTGTTCCAACAAGCTGGGCTGGCCTAATATGAATTTTATAATGGGTGTATGTTAGTTTTTAATTTGTGGGCCAAATTTTTTATATATTCGATTTTAAATTGTTTTTAAATTTTGTAAATTTATATGTGTTTTAATATGGCTGTACACCACCCTGAGTCCTTCGGGAGAAGGGCGGTATAGAAGTCCAATAAACATAAACATAAACATAAACATAAACATAAACATCAGAGTAAATAAACCAGCTCTAGTTTTTCTTGTTATAGAATCCTGATTTTTACATATTTTTCTCAAGCTACAGGGCTGATAGAAAAAATGGATGACAACACCAGAGGAAAAGAGGCAAATGGAGGATTGTATAAGCCTACTGACCAATGGAGATAATGTTTGACACAAAGTCAGGTCCAGGATGGAGGAAATAATTTGGACAAATTTGGAATGGCAATATTTTTGGCCAACTCAAGGAAGATAGGCTAAGATTTAATCTACTAGTGGGAAATAGCTACAAAATGGCATATAGTTAAGTGGAAATAAATAGTCAAAGCTTGTACCCTATTCAGCTATGTCAATTGCTTTGAGCTAACAATCTCAAATACTGGAATGAAGTTTGATGTCAGATGTTATCTCAGAGCAGGCTTATTTATAATCATTCTGGAAAGAGTAGTGCACAAGTTCCTAGGAGTACTCTGGAAACAGCCTCTTTGTGCAAAGATTCTTGTGAATTCCAAGCATGTGTCATATGAAGCTAGGGAGATACAGTCCTGTGCAGTATGCTGTCTCATCTCATTTCTTTTTCCATATGCAAATGAAAAAAATGATTTCGATATGTTTGATAATTATTCTCGTCTGCATAGCTTTTGAAATAACAATCTCCCCCCTCAATCATTGGAAAGCAAATTCTTTGCGCATATGATTATATGTGGATGTAGATTAAATAGGTTATGGGATTCTGCATAAGTGTGAGGATGATCACCCTTTTGAAACTGTTATGCCTTTGTATATGATGTTTGTTTTTTATTGATATATCACCTTAATTATTTTTATAAATAACTCAAGGTAGCAAGCAGACACAATTCATATCTGTTTTATGGCAACTTATTTTGCATATTGCCAGTTTAAGATATTCCGAGGGGCTTTTTGGGGGCTGTAATGCAACATTTCTGAAGGACATTAAAAGAGAGGAAGATAGTTCCATTCAATATATTGACCTTGAATCTAGGATTAAAGGAGTCCAATGCTACTCTGGTATTATTGACAATTCTGTATTTTCCTTTTGATACAGAAGGTTTTCCTTAAGCAAGCCCCATCCGATCCTGTTTAGGATGCTGATGTCATCTGGCAGTGGCTCCCAGGTTATTCAGAACATGGAAGAAGGTAATGTAACTAATACTGTGTTTCCCCTATCTTATATTTTTTTGAACCCTGAAATAAGCGCTTGGCCTTATTGCCATGCGCTCAAAAGCCCGATTGGGCTTATTATTAGGGGATGTCTTATTTTGGGGAAAACAGGGGAGTAAATTCAGAAAGCTATAATTATCTGTGTTGCTTTTCCTTTTCCTCAGGTATAAAACTATGCAGTAATCTGGGTTTAGTGATTTATCTACTATTTCTTAGAAGCTGTAGAATTAACCAGAAAAGTAAAATAATAAGAATTCTTTTTTAGTTTTTAGTGACAAAGCTTTTTATATCAAATATGTTTTGGCCAGATCTTACTGGTAATTAAAAACTTTTTTCCCAACAGAGATTTAGATGAAACAAATAAATATGAGAATATGAAACTGAAGGGAAAAAAACTCATACAGTTTGATCTTCTGCCATACTGTATTTGCCTGGAAAACTAATTAATTTTAACTTTGAGACAGCAATAAGTTATCAGTACTGCAGAATATATTAATATGTACTTGAGCATACCACCTTGTGTGACCGACTTGAAAAATAATACAGTTGTTTTTCCTTTTTTAAAAAAAATTCCCTGATAGTCTAATTGTTTTATTTTCTTTCACAGGACATTTCCCGATTCATGTGAATAATGGTATGTTGTGGTAACCTGTATGCTTTTTAATATGACTGTTTGTCTGCTCTATTATGTTTCTTCATTCTTTATTGGAGATTTAATGAAAAACTTAAGTTCATATTTTCTGGCAATTCTGAATCATTCCTCTTAATGGTACTAAATAGGTTTATACTATTAAGCAAATGAAACATGTCTTACTAAACAAAATGTAAATTATGTATGTGTGCTGTTTTTCATAATTAACCTATAACTAGTTAATCACCTGCAATTTTATATCCTCTTGGCTTCTTGATCTATGCTTGCAATTTATTTATTGTATTTATATCTCTACCTCTGAGACTCCAGAAAGTATGTCTTCCCTACTTTCTTTCCTATATGGGATAAAAAATGTGGCTGTCCCAAAATATCATATTTAGATGGGAACTTAAACTCTAAATCTTAGTACCCTGGTTTGTCATCCATCAGAAATTCTTATGCACTTACCTGCTTTCTGCCAGTGGAATATATTCCCTTCTCTACTGACGAATCAAGGCAAATGACAGATCCTCTCTGGCAGATATGAAATGTCTGTGCATTTTATACATTGAATGTTGCCGAAGCCCCACCCCCCCACTGCCCTCCACCTTTTGGTCTCTGCCTCCCAGCAATTTACCTCCTTGCAGCAAACAGTGTGGTCACCTTCAGCACAGCCTGATTTAGCACAAGCAGCTGACTGGCAGTTGGATCGGCCTCCCAGAATACCGCCTATCAGCTGTTCCAGGCTGCAGGGCTCGCTGCTGTCGATCAGTGCTGTCACCACCCATCGCCGCTGCCACGTATCGCTGCCTCCGCATGCCCCATTTTTGGTCTCTGCACTTCCCATTTTTGGCTTGTTCCAGGTGGTAGGGATAGGTGGAACAGAATGAAAATTGGATGCACGGAGGCTGAAAATTGGATGCACAGAGGCTGAAAATGGGTTGTGCGGAGGCAGCAATAGGTGAAAGCAGCAATGGGCAGCACTGGTGCCGATGGGCAGCAGCGATCCTTGCAGCCTGGAACTGCTGTTAGGCGGTATTCTGGGAGGCTGATCCAACCGCCAATCAGCTGCTCATGCTAAATTAGGTTGTGCTGAAGCTGACCATGCTATTTGCTGTTTGCTGCAAGGAGGCAAATTGCTGGGAGGCAGAGGCAGATTTTTTTTTCTTGTTTTCCTCCCCAAAAGCTGTAAGAGTGTCTTACAGTCCGAAAAATACGGTATTTCATCCATCCATCTTATTTGTATCTTTTTTAGAGGATGTATTCCACTTCTTACCTTGGTCTTATTTTTTTTTTTTTTCTTTCTCAGGACATTTTGTATCTCACTTATGTTTTTGGCCAAAGCAAAGCAGCCAAGAGTGTTTCCAAAAAAGGCTCTTACCCTCTACTTGCCGTTCTTCATCAGTGTTAATGGGAAGATCAGATAATTTCATTTTCTATTTGAAATCTTCTATTTCTCCACAGTAAAGTTGGCGGAAAAAATATTAAGGCTGTGCAATGCTTCACACTGAAAGGAAAATAGGTGCTTCTGATACATACACATGTAGCATCTATCAGAAATATCAAACAGAATGCTTTTCTTCTTGCACAGTCCTTGGAAAGATGCAGCTGCTTTAAGCAACTGCCCACATGTTTACAATCCCTACTATTGCTCGCTCCCACAGTCTCGGCAGGAGGGGATCTGGTTGCTGTCCCCATTATTTTTTAATAGAGAAAATTCCTTTTGTGTATTTACTTGGATAAGATCAGTGAAACCTATTTTTACCATTCTGTAATGAACAGATTGGCTGGGATGTATGATACAGTCCTTTTCAGAAACAGACTGTAGATTTCAGAATAACATACAAGTTGTTTACTATGCATTTAGTTTAAACCAATTCTTATTTTACATATTTTTTACATTTGCTATATTTTTATGACTTATTTTATACAGTACCTATTTTATTTGCTCTGTGCTGAAAGTTATATGTTTATACTTTGAAGGTGTTTCTGACACGAATAAAGAATTATGCATTTAATGTTAAGGAGTTAATTGATGCTTGAAGACAGTAGGATAAAGGAAAAGAAAATCTGACAGAACCTTTGGGTTTAACCCACCTATCTTCTAGGTTTAATGTTTGTGTGTGCATGTATGTGTGTGTGCACAATTCTTATTTTACATATGAAGGTAGAATGAAATGGGATTCAAGGTACAAAGAAACAACTTGGATCAATCTACAGGTAGTCCTTGCTTTCGGCCACAATTGAGCCCAAAATTTCTGTTGCTAAGCAAGACATTTGTTATGTGAGATAACCTTTCTTGCCACACTTGTAAAGTGAATCACTGTAGTTAAGTTAATGATTGTTCAGTGACTCTGGCTTCTCCATTGATTTTGCTTGTCAGAAGGTAGCAAAAGGGATCCCAGGACTTCAACCGTCATAAATATGAGTCAGCTGCCCAGCATCAGAATTTTGATTTCATGACTGTGGGGATGCTACAATGGTCATAAATGTGAAAAATGGTCATAAGTCACTTTTTTCAGTGCCGTTGTAACTTCATACTGTCATTAACTGAACTGTTGTAAGTCAGGCACTATCTGTGTAATATAAATTTTTAAAAAAGATTTCAACTCTTATCTAATTCCACACTTCCATAGATGCTATTCCCTTCCGATTCTCCCACATTTCCTTAGAATCGAAGTCTTTTAATGTTCTTTTTCTATTGGAGTATGACATTTTGACTAAAGCACAAATGCTGATGGTTATGATTGAGATGTATCAGAAAATGTATCTCATTTGTTTACAGAATCTAGATGTACATTTTCAGGTGTGTATTGGTATCTTGTTAGCTATGTAAAGGTAAACCTGCTCCTTGTTTAAATTTTCCTTGCAGTTTCAAGACAAATGAGTATGGATATGTATATACAGTGACATGATTTGAATATTTATTTTGGAATGTCAAACCTAGGTTGTTGCTAAGCAACAATCAAGAGTAGACCACGATATCCAAATATTCTTGTATGATCCTTCATGGTTTTCATAGTATTGTTTTGTTCTTTTTTAATCCCTGTATGCCATTTAGGGTTGTGAAGGAGTAGGTAGCCTGAAAATTAAATTCAAAAGAAATGAATAAGTTTTCTAGATAACTGGATTTTTTTGAAAATTAAAATGTTACAGAAACGAGAAAGCATGCCATTCATTATTAAATATACCATTCACTGAAATCTCAGTGAACCTGGCCAGCTTTTGCTTTTCAGCCATTCTTTGCATGACTTCTGCTTACACTTCTGCTTTTCAAAAGTGCAGTCCTGTAGTGGTCCTTGGTCAGGTTTATCCCATTAAATATTTCTGACTGGATTTTATTTTGTTTCAGTGCGAAGTAAATTGAGAGAGCTAGTGGGAGCATCCACCAATTGGAGGTATTGTATTGTATATATAAATCATAGTATAATTGCATTTCTTAGAAGTGAAAGAATGCATGACAATTTATTCTTGCAGATTAATAATGGCTTGTAGCTGCTTAATAGAGTAAACCTATGATTTAACTGACTAATGCGGGAAAGAGTGTGTGAGACTCAAATGCAAGTGCAAATGAGATTTTATACATGCCTAAACCATCAAATGGATTTTGTTCATTGCATTTGAAGTATGATAAACTGAGGTTTGATTGTTTTTACCCGCATGACATAATCTGATTTTGCTTTACCCTTTGTCCAGAGACCATGTGCAAGCGATGAATGAAAGAAAATCTTTACATACACTCCTTGCTAAAACCCAAGCTGACCTGCCCCCTAGGAAAATGAAAGACAGCTATATAGATGTTATCTTGCCTTTAGGAAGTCAGCCTGAAATAAGAGAAAAATATCTCAATATGCAAAACACTGTCAGGTAAAGATAGACTACTTTCATTTTTCAATAAAATAAAACACTTGGTTCTTGGTGCTGTAACATACATACAGATTAATTGCTGTGTAATATTTTAGATTTGGTCGAATACTTGAAGACCTTGACAGCTTAGGAGGTATGTAGTACTTATATAATTTCATTTTTTCTAGAGATCTGATAGGTTGGAAAAATTTGAACACATTTGGATTATATAACATCTATGTCATTGTTAATTAAACATACTGCATAGGAATAGCTTGGAAACCGGCTGTTCTCTTTTGGAACCACTGAACTGATATTACAATTAGCATTGCTCTTAATGACTATGGTTCCTTGGGTAAGATAAAAATTGGTAATGAAGTGCCTCAGTGGGATCATTGAAAGAAGGTAGAAAAATTGGTTGATTCTTTGAATTTTTTTCTCCCCATCTATTCTGAAAGCAGTTATTATGCTTAATGGATTAAATTGAGTTAATTATTTACAACTCCTTTAAAAATGCAGATAACATTATTGTGATTTCCTGCTTAATGTATTTTTGTAGCAATGAAAAATGCTTCTGGAATAAGTGAGCATGTTGGTTTTTGCTTTATTAATTCATTACTTATATACCACCTTTTTATTTGTATAAACTCTATAACAAACATATAATCTGAAAGCAGAATATTAAATTCTGTGTAATCCAAATTGAAAAACAGTGCAATCAATTATCTGTTAAAAGTTTGGCAGCAGTTTTTGTTATTTTCCTGCTGTGTTATTTTAAGTATTTCCAAGTAGTTGTTTACTAATAGAAGAGAATATATATTCATGTACATCAGGATTGAACTGTCAAGACCTTGTTGCTTTCTAAGCTTGATTGTTCATTTGTAGATGTTTCATTACCCAACTAGATAACACCTTCAATGGTAGAAGGGTTTGCTCATTGTTTGTATATAGTAGTTTGACCTATCAGGGTACAGGGTACCCTAATCGAGGAACTACCATTTCAGACAATGAAGAAGTAAAGAACAGCCTAACCAAGGAAGTACAAAGGAGAAAACAACACCCCCACCAACACTGAAAGGGCAAGCCACTTTACAATATTACGTGTTGTAATAAATAAAATAAATTACCCCTACTAGTCTTAATTTGGCAGACTAAACTCTCTTTAATCATATTATAAGGCAGGTAGTCTTATGTACATTTAAAAATATTTTTCAATGCTACAACGATAATGCTGAAAGGTTTTCACCAGTCCTTAAGGGAAATATATACTGTATTTTTCAGAGTATAAGACGCACCTTTTTCCCTCCTAAAAGGGGGTGAAAATTTAGGTGTGTCTTATACACCGAATGTAGCCCTGCCCACCCATTGGCCCTACCCTTTGGCCTGTGCCTCGCAGCAGTTACCTCCTTGCAAGCAAACAGCAAGAAAAAACAGCTCCTTTCAGCTTCAGCATAGACTAATTAGCACAAGTTGATTAGATCAGCCTCCCAACTCTCAGCTGATTTGCTCTCAGCTGTTTTGGACAGGGCTCTGCTGCTTGCTGCAAAGAGGTAAATTGCTGGAGCAGATTTTTTTCCCCTTGTGCTAATCAAGCTATGCGAAACTGAAAGTAAAGCAGGCTGTTTGCTGCAACAAGGCAAAATTAGGCAGAGGCAGAGGGAGATTTCTTTTTCTTCTTTTTCCTCACCAAAAAAGGTAGGTGCAAACAATGGGAAATTTAGGGCAAAAGAGGAGAGTTCAAGATTTTAAAACACAGAAGAAAAAAAGAAGAAAGAAAAAGGCAAAAATAAAAATGGGAAGGGAGAAAAAGAAATGAAAGAGAAAAATGTTATACCTATTTAGAATTGAAATATGAATAGTAGTAAGAAATAAATGGGAAATCATGATTGTAAAAATGAAATGAATAATAATTGGAATATTTGTCTTTGTATTTTTGAAATCTAGACAATGATAAGTTTATTTTTTATTTTTTTAGAAATATGAATAAGTATAAACTGTAACAATTGAAATACCTTTAATGGTATGGTGGTGAAAGTAAAAAGGATTAAATTATAGCGTGGATAATAGCTAGAACATTTTTAAATTTAATTAGGGAAACTGTAATTATTGAAATATTTTTAATTATATATTGTGATGAAAGTAGAAATGATTAAGTTGTGATTTGGAGGATTATATGGGCAAAACTATATGGGTTATTGGGAGAGTTTAAGATGTGAAAATGAGTAACATAAGAGGGGGAAATTATTTGGTTTATTATTATTGGTAAATATAATTAATTGATTTGTAAGAAATTGGATTGCATGGAAATAATTGGAATATTCATGTTCATATTGATTAATATACAAAAAAGATAGTTATATAACTATTTGATTTATATTAAAATGTTGAATTTGTAGAGTAGAAGGGAAACTTGAATTTGATTAAGATTAGAGATGAGGATGAAGGGTAATATTGGTTTTTTAAAAAAAATAGATGAATAAATATGGCAAAAAGGAAATATAGACATTGTAAATTTAATTGAAATGACTAAACACTGTTTAAATTTGTGAACCAGCCAAATACTCTGTTCAAAGAAAATACATTGTATGTTTGCATGTGTGTTTGTCTAAAAAATAAAAAAAAACACCAAAAAAAGGTAGGTGCGTCTTATACTCTGGTGAGTCTTATACTCCGAAAAATATGGTAAGTTCTAAGAGTATGTATGTGTGTGTGTATGTATGTATGTATATATGTATTTATTAGAATTTGTTGAACAAAACCGAGAACAAGAATAAAAGAAAAAAAACCACAATGACAGGGACAATAGGCATATTAGTGCAGTTATGTGCAACCGCTCTACTGATAATTTAAGTATGATCTAAGGTCCACAGAAGTCAATTTATGACTGAAACTGTGAGGATTTTTAATATTTTTTTTTACTATTTCTTGAGAATCTTTTCTTGATCCACCTGTAAGATCGATCGATAGGGTGGAAAAGATTGGCTGAGCAAGGAGTGGTATCCGGTAAATTGGCTGCGCGGAAGGTGGAAGAAAGCATATTAGAAATTTGCAGACTTTGAGTGAAGAGGAAAAAGGACTTGGAGATTTTAAATTGGTTTTAAAAAGGAATTGGACAATAAGACGTTGATTGAACTGAATGAATGATGCTTTGTTTATGAATGGGATACAAGAGAAAGTGATTGGTGAAGGGAACCTTGTAACAACTTTAAAGAGACGAAAGTACTGATTCAATATTAAAAGTTAACTTGTAGTGCCATCTAGTGGCAGGAGGAAAAAAGACATATATTTCTGAAGAAACTGTGAGAATTGACCTTGACATTTTGGTTAGAAGATAACAGAACAGCTGTGAAGATTAGACTGAAACTTGCCTTTGAACTCCCCTTTTTTTGTCTGAGCTTTTGGATTGTCTGAAGTTTTGGATTTAAATTTTTTTTTACTATCTTTTTTTGTGTGGGGGGGATTGACTAGCTTTATGTTTTCAGAAGTGCCGGTGGAAAAAGACTTTAGATTTATTTCCTCTTTTTTCTTTTTTTTTCTTTTTTTTCTTGCTCTCTATATATCTAGAGGTTCTTTTTTACTGGATTTAATGGAATTGGATTTTAAATTATCTTTGCCCTTGGATTAAGACTTGAAGAGTCAGAAGAAACCTTTTTAAACTTATTTTATTTCTTGTTTGGCTTTTTCATTTTTTTTCTTTCTCTCTCTCTCTCTCTTTTTTTTTTTTTTACCAAACCCACTTTCCTTTGGATTTTTGATTTGTATTTTGACAAGAGGAGTTTTTTAAATTTTTGGGGGTGGAAGTTGTTGGAAATTTTGGTTTCTTCTCCCCTCTTTCTTTTCCTCTCCCCATTATTCTATTTTACTTTAACTAATTCAACTCTCGGTTGGATTAGATATTTGGATTACAAATAAACCGCAAGTAAAATAAAAAGTATCTGAGAAAAGGAGAAATGAAGAAATTTACACAACCAGCACCAAGTCCCTCAGTGCCAGAAAAGCAGAAAAATCCAGAGATGATGGAATTACAAAATTTTATGCAATCGCTTCACGATGATATAAAACAGGAATTAAAAGAAATGAAAGAAATGATGGGGAAAAATGAGGAGAGGATCCACAAAGTAGAAGAAAAAGTAGAAATGACCTAAAAAAAAGTTGAGGAACTGGAAGAGAAATTGGTTTCAACAGACAAGTCACAAGAAAAAACAATTATCCTGTTGCAGATGTAGCATTCTGAATTTTATTTAAGATTTCAAAACAGAGAGGAAGAAAAGGAAGAAAATTTACCTGAAGTAATTGCAGAGGTTTTGGCTGAGGCCTTGGAACAACCCAAGGAAGAGATATTAAACGAGATTGATGAAACATTTAGAGTTTACACTAGATATGCAATAAGGAATAAACTCCCAAGAGAAGTACATGTAAGATTTACAAAGAGGGCAAAGAAAACAGATATTACAAGTGGCAAGAAGTACAACACTGAAATATAAGGATAAAGAACTTGTGGTTTTAAGACAAATACCTAGAAGAGTTAGGGATTTGAGGAGAGAGTATCAATTCCTAACAAAATTCTTAATATACAAAAGAGTGATTTTTAGATGGCTAATACCTGAAGGAATTATGGTGACATGGCAAGAACAACAATATAGATTGGACTCGCTTGAAAAAGCAAATTATTTTATCAGCAATTTTGTGGACCTTTGGAGGAAGATTTGAGAGCTGTAGGTGGGGCAAAAGAGAGAGAGGAAGAGAAGGATAAAGATGAAAAAGCAAAAGAGGAAAGAGTGTTAAGAGAGGAAGCCAGAGCCAAAGACCCAATGGAACAAAGAGAGACAAGAGCGATGAAACTAAAAACTAGTAATAAGTAAAACATGGAAGAAGAAATTAAAGCAATTTCCTTAAATTTAAATGGACTGAATGCAGCGACAAAAAGAAATAGAACATTGGCTAAACTAAATACTTTGAAGATGGACATTATATGTTTACAAGAAGTACATATTAGAAAAAACACTTAAAATTATTACAATATCCAAAATTAGGACTCTTATTTACATCATTGACACATCAAAGTAAAAGAGGTGTGGTATTGTACATTAAAGGAAAATTAGAACCCAAGTTAATCTTTGAAGACGAGGAAGGCAGGATTTTGATGGTGGATAT